GCCACCACCCAACATGAGCCACCACCCAACATGAGCCACCATCCAACATGAGCCACCACCCAACATGAGCCACCACCCAACATGAGCCACCACCCTACGTGAGCCACCACCCAACATGAGCCATGAGCCACCATCCCCGTGAGTCGGCAGCTCTAGGCCCTGGGCATCGACAACCCTGGGCATCGCAGGAAGACAGGCGCCCAATCCCATGTGCCCTGAGGAAGATACACCCCCTGGAAGACACCAGCTGAGTGGTCATCGTGCAGGAAATCCAGAGGACAGGGACACAGTGACCTGCACCAGGAGGAAGCAGATGGCCAAGCCCAGGCTGCAGAGCCTCTTAGCTCATCGGTGTCACATACTTTCCTTAAAAATATTTTCTCAGTTGTCGGTGAACCTTTATTATTTATTTATATCTGGTGCTGAGGAGCGAACCCAGTCCCTCACACGAGCCAGGCAAGCGCTCTGCCACTGAGCCCCAGCCCAGCCCTTTAACTGCTTTGCATCCTTTAACAGATAAATTGCGTGGAAAATAAGAGCTGGAAAAGAAACCTAGAGGTAGGTTAAAAAGAACTGAAAGGACAGCGGGCACTTATTCACGAGCAGGTCTAGATGAAAGGTCTAGAGGCCTCTGCTACCATAGAACCATCAGGAAACCCGGCTGGCTTGCCCTGGGGCTCAGCCGGGGACTGCTTGTGGGACAGAAGGGTTCACACTGGTCTGTGCCTGTGAGGCAGCCCAAGCACCTGGCCACGCCCTCTGTCTTGACTTGGGTGATGATTAGGAAGACATTTGCCTTCAATCTGATCTCGCTAGACCCTCACTTTGGGTTGCTTTCGTATCTGCTCATTTTATGATAAGGAGGTTTTAAGAATATGTCTGGAGCGGAGCTGGGATGTGGGTCTGTGATTCCCTGGGTCTTGGTCCCTGAGGGAGCTGAGGTCCTCTTCCTCTTGCTCCCAGTCGCACGGTGGTACGGATTTCACGTCTTCATTCTGGGCACTGAGTCCGGCACTTTGTACATGCTGGTGACCCGCTACTCACCCAACTGTGGGCTCCCCAGGGTAGGGAGCCTGTGTCCCTTGCTCACTTTGGTGCCGGTGCACCTGGTGCCCTGCAGGCACTAGGCATCGTCTGCTGAGCCAGCAGCACGTGAGTGCACCGTGTGGCGAAGGCACTGAGGCTCGGTGCTGCCGTCCGTCCCTCTCAGAGCCCTGCTCACTCACCGCCAGGCAGACGCAGCTGCAGGGTGTCTCCTGTGTTTGGCTCCAGTCTGCAGGAAGGACACAGAGCAGCCCGGCTGCAGAGGCCGCCACAGTTCCCCACTGGAGCGTCCTCTGGGCCAGGTGCTCCCTGGCCTGGCCACCTGCTGCTGCTCCCTGGGTCTTGGTCCCCGTGGGAGCTGAGGTCCTGACTTTGCCATCAGCTGCGTGTGCTGTGGTTCCCCTCAGGGTCCGGCAAGAGAAGACGGACACCGTCCGCTGCATCAAGTCCTGCCGCCCCGCCGACGTCGCTTGTATGCGGGACCCCGTGCACACCATCTCCCACACGGTCATCTCGCTGCCCACCTTCCGCGAGTTCACCCGCCCTGAAGGTGAGTGGCAGTGGCCTGGAGGCTCCAGACTCCCCTGGAGGGCCTCCCTCTGCTTGAGTAGAGAGCTGGGCCCTAGAAGGCACGGTCAGGGCCGAGCCGAAAGCATCTACCCACCTTCCAGCCCAAGCCGCCCTCAGAGCAAGGTCCTTCTGCAAATAGCCACAGTGTTGCTCCTGTGCCGAGCTCTGTGGAGTCAGGAGGGCTCTGGGAGGAAGTGACCTTTGTGCTGGGGCCCAAGTGGTGGCTGAGAGGTGATTCAGTGAAAAGCCCAGAAAGGGCAAGGAGGCCACCAAGCCCGGTCACAGCTGGCAAGGTCTGGAGTTGAGTGGGACAGCATGGGCATTGAGGATGAAGCCACGTTGTTTGGCTGGAGTGGCAGCCGCATGGCAAGAGATAGGCTGGCGGAATCGGCAGGGATCAGCCTGAACTTGGAGCTGGGGCTTCACCCTAAGGCTCTGGGGAGCACTGAGAGGCTGCAGCTGGTCAGATTTGCAGGAGGAAACATGGTCCTGGAGCCTGGGACGACGGCGGAGGAAGCGGCACCTGGGTCATGTTCCCACGCCCGCGCCCGCTGTCCAGGGGCCTCAGGGTGCTCCGCACACCTGCCTTCCTAGCGCGCTGCCCAGGCAGGACAGAGGCTGGCCCGTTGCTCCGTGGCCCTCACACCCGGGTGTGCGGCCCTGTGCTGGGGCTGGCTTGGTCCCCAGCCACTCTGCCACTGTGCAGTCTCCAGCCCTGGCCTTCAGAGGCGCTCACCATCACCAGGCCACTCCGCAGACATGCACTGAGCCCACATCAAGCTCTGGGGACACCAGGGATAGAAGATCCTTCCTCTCAGAGGAGACTTCCAATTGAGCCAGCCAGGGCAACCCCGGTGCTGACACCGTGGCAGGACGGTGCAGGGCTTTGGGGATGACAGGGGAGACCCCCAGGGCCGAGCTGCCTCAGGCCGCAGTCCCCGCGCAGTCCCTCCCCACTGGCTCCAGAGAAGGAAGGAGCAGCATTTCACAGGGGTCTGGACTCGGGCTGGAGGCTGGTGACGCTGGCTTTTCACCAAGCCACACAGCAGGGCTCCCCAAATCCTCACGGCCAGCCAGTGCCGACGTGGGGGCTGGTGACTGCAGGGTGTTGGATGTGGCTGGAGACGCCTCTTAGTACCTTGGGCCCAGGAAGTCCAGACCCTGAACTTCAGTGCTGAAAGGACCTTAGTGGTCACCCAGTGGCCCTTTACTTTAGGTATGGGGAAACTGAGGCCCAAGGAAGGCTCCCCCAAGACCACCAGGAGTCAGGCTGGGCTCTGTGACCAGTGGCTCCCAGGCCAGGGTGGCCTGGTCTCTTCACAGTGGTCTAGAGGTGGACCCAGCCACACAGCCCAGCCTCCCCAAGGAGCGGTCTCTCTCCCCGAGTTGGTGTGCACAGGAGAGGAACCAGCTTGGGCCTTTGGTGTCCTCACGGACCTCCTGTCCCCTTCCCCAGCTCCATAAGTGCTAGTAACATTCACTAATTACTTCTCAGTGGACACCGCTGTGATCGGCTTCCTGGCCTCAGGGACATCCAAACCTCTCCAGCCCCCAGTCTCCCTGCTGATGGAGCCGCCCAGCCTGTGACGTGGGGCTCGGGAGCTCCACCTTTCCACATAGGGCGTCCGCAGCTTCAGGGACGTGGCCTGTGAACAGTCCCTTGTGTTGGGTGCTCATTACTGGGGCGTCACTGGGGTGGGCCCCGTAGTGCACCCCTTCCCATCCGATGCCCTCTCTGCAGAGATCATCTTCCTGCGGACGGTCACGCCGCTGTATCCTGCCAACCAGGCTGACATCATCTTTGACATAACGGAAGGGAACCTGCGGGACTCCTTCGATATCATCAAACGCTACATGGACGGCATGACCGTGGGTGAGTGGCCCTCCCCGGTGCTCCAAGGATCAGCCACTGCCCCTCCTTGTGCTGTTGGGCAGGAAGCCTTCTCTGGACCTGCCCGGCCCACACCTGAGTCTCTTTTCCAAGCCAGTCCCCTCCGCCGTCCCTTGGGACCAGCCTGCAGCCCCCTCAGTCTCAGCCTGAGGCACAGCCCAGCGTGGCAGAGCCTGCCCTGGCAGTGCCCCTGGCTCTCCATGGGAATTCTCCTGGCCTCCACCTCCCTAGCTGTAAAACAGGTGGGTTAAAAGCTGTGGCCTCTCACAGCTGTGACCTCCAAAGGCTGTCACTGAATGGGAGCTCTGGCTCAGGCTCAGCATGGCCCCATGGTCAGTGGAGCGCTGGGGTTTTACCCTTGGGGTCTCGGGGAGGAGTAGCAAAGGAAGAATCCGAGGGCCTGGGCTCCAGTCTCGGCCACAGGGCTACTGTGACTTGTGGTGTGACCTTGAACGTGTTCTGTCTGCTCCCCAAGTGTCCGCTGGTAATAGGTCCAGGCCTGGCCACTGCCTAGAGCCCCTCTGGCTAGGCAGCCACTGTGCTTCCTCCCTGGAGATTTGGTGTTTCTGGAGCACCAAGGAGACCAGGGCAAGGACAGGAGTTGGTACCTGGGCAGAGAACTTGGTAAAAGGGGCAGGGGAAGGGGTGAGCTGGGCACAGGAATGGCCAGAGCAGACACCAGAGGGAAGTTAGTGAACTTGGGAGATCGTGGACTGTGCCCTCCCGTGGAGGTGGGGATGCTGTCAGCTGCTGGTCAGGGGGATGGGAGGGGACGGGGCAGAGCCCTCCCTGTCTCAACCATGTCTGAAAGCACATCTGAAAACACGCTCAGACCACGGCACTCGGCAACACGCTTCCTGTGGTCCACGGAACCTGGCCTGAAAGTTACATCTCAAAGAAATTCTATTCTTAGGGAATGTCACCATCGGGTCTGCCGGTTTGGACTTGGATTTGTACTAGGAACACTTTCCAAGCAGCTGAGCACACCCCCTGCCCTCACCTGGGCCTCAGTGTCCCCATTGTGAATGGGCATGGGAGCCGAGGGCTTCTGAGGTCCTGACCAGATCGGGAGGCTTTGGAACGTGGGCTCCAGGTGGCGCTGTTGGACCTGGAACCTCACGCCTGCCGCCCCCAACCTGACGGTTGTTAAACTGGCCGTTAATCCCTCGTTGCCAAAGAGCCATTTATAGCGACTTTACAAGCTCTTAAATGGGTTTGCATGTTGTAAACATGACTGAGTCGTCTGGGGGTTCCCCGCCCCAGCCTCCTCCTCCGCTAGTTGGCAACGGCAATAATTAGTTAATTACTATTAATGGTGTGTTAGCCCTCGCCGGGACTCCAGCAGGGCGCAGCCTGGCTGTCAGCAGTCGTGAAACCGGCTGCTCGCCCCAGAGCCACTGCCCGCTCTGGACCTCTGTTTCCCCCTTGTAAAATGACCTGCGGGTGTGGCTGTGATGGGGCCTGGCCCCTGGGTGGCTCCCCGCTCTGGGAACCCTAGTGGTTTGGAATCACAGACCTTCCGGTTCACCCCTTCACTCCTTCCCAAGCCCTCCTGGCGGAGACCACCTCACCAACAGCTCAGAACGGCCGGCCTGGGGGATACGGAGCCTCGGCCTGTGGGGGCTCTTGGGGGCGAGTCCCTGGACATTCTTGCATCTTCCGTTCCCAGCTAAATCCTTCCTGGGGTGACCCAGCCAGGAGGTTGGGCAGCAGCCGGGCCTGGAATGACCCCACCAGTGCCCTGGGGTGCCGTCTCTGGCCACATCAGCATCCCAGAGGGACCACCCTGGGAGTCTTCGTTTCTCGGCTTCCCATGCGCTGGGGCAGAACAGCCAGCCGTGCGGCCCCGGAGACCCCTCCCCCAACCCCCTCTAGAGGGGAAACCGAGGCCCAGAGGGGCAGGGATTTGCTGGTCTTCTACCAGTGACTCGGGGCACCGCAGGCCATGGAGTGGCCCCCAGGGTGGGGTGTGAGAGGTGACCACAGGTGTTCCGGGCAGTGGGCTTCCTGGGAATGGAATGTGGACCCAGCCACACAGCGGCCGTTCCCCTCGCTGCGCTTGGTCACGGGTGCCCTGGTCTTTGGAATTCTGGGCTGGGCCATGGGGAGGCCCCAGCCCGGTCTTGGGAACGGCTCCTCCCGAAGCCCTGCCTGCCAGGTGGCCCTGTGGCTCCCCCCTCACTGTGTGCAGGAGGTCCCATCTTGGTGTCTCTGGAGTGTTTCTGGCTGCCTCTCACCCTGGGCCTCTGGATGCGACGTTTCTCTGCTGGGGCTGTCTTCCTTGGGACCTTCACCGTCCACCTCTTTCCTCTCTTCTGCTGCCCAGAGCCACCTCTGGGAGCTTCCCAGGCCCTGGACCTCCCTGGCACACAGCTCCAGGCCCGTCCACCTGGCAGGGTGGCCTGCTGGACTGGAGCCGGCATGCAGTGCCTGGAGTGGGCTTCCCCCTGATGCTCCTCTCCTCTGCTGAGCCTTCCCCCTTAGTTCTTGTGCTCACTCACATCACTGCCCAGGATGGGGCAGGAGCCCTTCCCTTGGGCCAAGGAGGGAAGGGAGCTAAATGACCGCGTGAGCCTGTAACTGAAAACCGCAAAGCCGGGACATCTCCAGACTTGTTCTGAGCGCGCTGCATTCCCAGGCCCCATCTTAGACGGAGCCTGGGTGTCGACTGAGGGGGAGAAAGGGTCCCTGGACACTCAGGCCTGCCATCTGCTGCTCCCTGCTAGGCCTTGGGAGGCTCCTGAGCCCCTTGAGAACCCCCAGGCAGCTCGGCCACCAGCAGCACACGGCAGGGGCACCTGCCTGCCCAGGGCACTGGCTGGATGCCTGCCAGCTCCAGGCCATACCCTGGGTGGACACTGAGGACCACCAGGGGCTTCCTGAAGGAGGCAAGGCCAGGCTGAGTCTCCACCCGTGGGCAGGAAGGACGTTGGTGAGCTGCTACGCAGAGGAGCTGATGTTCCATGATGGCCAATGCCCTGTGCTGTGGGTCACCCCTACTCAGGGACGCAGGTGCAAGGGCCAGGTGGGCATGAGGCTGGCAGACCAGAATGGGCCTGGAGCCCAACCTTCCAGAGCTGGGCTGGTGCCAACTAAGACCCACTGGCTAGGAGTGTGGGTGTCCCAGGAAGTCACCCGTGGACAAGCCTGCAGGCCCAGTGGCCGCAGTGTTCACCCCCCTCAAAGTCATAGGAGGTCAATGCCCCGAGACAACCAGGACCCAGGGGAGCCAGACCTTCTGCTAATGCAGTCTTGAAGCCTCTTCCAAGGGATCCAGGGACTGCGCCGGGCGAGCGGCTGTCCCTGACAGTGCCCCTGCATTCCTCTCTCCCCGGCTGACAGTGAAAAATGAAGAATGCGTTTCCTCTAGGGCCTGAGGGGCTCCCGGGCCTCAGAGCCCTCCTCAGCCGTCTCGGGGTTCACCCTTGGCTCTGCAGGGTGCAGGCTGTGATCGGGGAGCTCAGAAAACTCTGTCAAGTAACAGCTTCTGGGTGACCAACGGGGATCTTTGAACAGGATGGTGCCAGCTGCATGCGGCCAGCCTGGGGTGGGAGGACAGGCCCCAGGCCCCTGGGCACCCCTGCTGCTGGGCTGCAGCAGGTGCAGGGCCTCAGGCCCCTTACCACCCTCTGCTCTCTGCTTCTCAACCGCGCCCCTGGTGGAGAGCTGGCTTGGCCAATGTTTCTGTGAGACCAGGAGGAGCCGGGGGGTGGGCGGTTGGGGGGGTTTTTCCCCTTGGGGCTTTTTTGCCCTTGGTTGGCTTGGCCTTGGGCTTTTGGTTCGGCGGTTTTGTTGGCGGCGTTGTTGTTGGGGCGTTCCAGGTTGGGGGCTTCTCGGACCGGGTAGTGGGGGTGCGAGCGAGGATGGAGGTTAGACTCCACTCCAGGCCAGTGTGGAGTCCCGGTGTCCTCTGGTCTCTACTGGCCGTTGTCCACACTGCTGGCATCTGCTGGCTGCAGTTTGTCCAGGTCCTAGCCACAGAGCATCGGTAGTGAAGCAGGTCCTTATAAACAGCCTCATGTGCAAGCTTCATGTCTGAGAAGACGTTCAGCCCACTCCGCTGGGCACCTCGGTCCCATCTGGTGAGCGCGTGAGGCTGGAGGTGGGCCTGGTGGCGATGGCCGAGCACTTAGGTGTGTGTGCTCAGGTGGGCGAGTGCCGAGTGAGTGCCACCGCCTGACTCTCCCAGAGGCTGGCAGTGTGGAGGGCAGGCAGAGTGTCCCCTAGACGGGAGAAGGGGACATGGCAGTGTGGAGGGCAGCAGGAAGGTCCCCTAGAAGGGAGAGGGGGACGTAAAAGGAAAAGCACCTTTGTACTCACTGCGTGGGGACCCCACGGGGCAGAGGCAGTGCCCTCCAGGTTGACCACTCTGAAACGACAGCTGTTACTTTTCCAGAGTGCCACCGGAGGGGTCACCTGCCCTAGCTCACAGATGCAGACTCAAAGGTCACACAGTTAGTGACAGCCCCTGGGCTGGGGCTGGATTCCTCAGAGGACTGGTGGGCTTCAGTGGGGCGGGTATGGCCTCTGCTGGGAGCCCACCTGTCTGAGGTGCCCAGGGGCTACAGGGAGCCACCCCAGGAGCTGCCTGTCCTGCCCTGGGCTCCCTGGCTGCCTGCCCTGGGCCTGTTTGTGGCACAAACGTATTTGTTCAGGGCCTCGACGGAAGGGGGAGCCCCAAGCACTGGGCAGCACAGGACCTGGCCCCGAGAGTCAGTGGGGGTGGCCTGTCCTTGCAGCTGCCACCCCTGAAGGAGGAGCAACATGGTGGCTCTGCTGTGCGCTCCAGGGGGCTTCCTGGTGCCACGCTGGAGGAGCACCGTGGGTTCCCAGCCCTGCCTTCTCAGTCACCCTGGGTGGGACCACTGTGGCCCCAGGGGAGACGTAAGGCCACACTGGAGACACCTGCCTCTCAAGTGAGTGACGGCACTTGCAGCTGGGCTGGGAGACTCAGGCCTGGGGGCATCTCAGAATCCTGTCCC